ATCTCTGTCTAGAAGATGGAATGTTCCTCCATCTTTGTATGTCCTTCTGCATAGATCTGAGATTTTAGCCACCTGTAAATGGTTTTGTTTACCTTAGACTCTCCGTGTCCCTTGGGAAACTTGTAGACTCAATTTTCCTTACTAGCAAATAATGAATTCAGTCACTTCCTAGTTTATTAAATATGACAAAAAGTGAAAGAGACATTCAGTTAAAAAGATAAATCAATGTACTGTACAGTTCATGGGACACGTTATTGACAGGGGGGAATACAAATTAGTATCTCTATCTAGCCAACATCTCAGTGGAACCAAATCAAGAAGCGATACCGTTGAGCGCCGCATTTAAAATGCAACACATGCTCATCGTGCTGCATAGCCAGACTGCTGATATTTCCAGTTCCTGATTTCAGGCTCTGCAGCAAATGCTTCCACAGGCATATGCCAAATGCATCCAGCCTTAAATATTCCATTTTCAAACTGGTCTCACAACAATGGTATAAAATAAATAAATAATGAAACTTCATCAGAATGGATTGACTCATGGAATGTTGGCAAATAGATGTTATCTGAAAACAAGTACCTTCTGATGTCAGTGTCACATTCGCTGAATGCCAGGAACTCAATTTTGCTTGTTTTCACGCACCAGGGCTGGAGATGTAAACCTAATCGAGAATTTCGAAGTACTTTTGGTGCCTGGACTCGCACATTATGCGGAGATGAAGAAAACTTTTAAATGGAATGACAGCAATACAATGAAGGAGGACAAATCATGAATTTCAATGAGATGTTTTTACCTGGATATTATTTATTCAGGCTGCAGCTTCCAATGTAGCTTTTATGAGGTAAACTACGTATTATAGCATTATTTCAAGGAATCAAAGGTTAGCCAATATAATTGCACAACACAATGGAAGAGAACTTCAGTGTGTTAACCTCCGTTAATGTGATACTGTCTGGTTGCATTATCATATTTGTTGATTAAATAATGATCAAAATACATTTTTGAAAGGAAATGGGTATATTTTGGTGTTTCACGTTCTGAGATTGCTTTGAGATACCCATGGGATCATCTATGATAAGAGAACATGAGCAGCTGTCTTTAAAATGGAATGTGTATCTCCTACTCACATAAGCATGTTCTTCTGAATACAGAAACTCCATGCATTCCGGGAGCAAATTTTCATTTAGTTGACATCTTTAATGTCCAGACAGGAGGTCAGCGATGCTTATTATTTTGCACACTGATTCTTGTCATTTTTTCCAGATGCAAAATGATACTGTTCCAAATGAATCACCTGACTGCAGACAAATATGAAAAATCTATCGAGACAAAGGAAGACATAATTGAAAATTAATACAGTTTGCAGCATAAGTGTTTGAAAAAAGTATTTTGAAATTGTTGAATTAAGAGAAAAAAAGCTTGATTTCCATCAGTCAACTGTCCTGTCTTCTGGATTTGTTTTCCTTAGGGTAACAACGTAATTATTTATTAATAATAATAATAATTCATTATTATTATTGTTGTTGCTCACAATAACAACAACAACAACAACAACAACAATAATCACCATCATTATTTTTATTATTGTTGTTGTTGTTGCTGCTACTGCTATTATTGTTAATTTATTCTATTATGGGAGTTATATGTAATTTCATTACCTGGATTTTGCTGCGGGAGCTAACATTTATCAGCCGAGGGTTTCATCATGTCTCTCAGCATTTGAAAGGACTTCAGCTAATAACCATCATCAAGCATGATTTACTTCCCCAGTTGTATCGTTTCGGTGAGGTTGCAGCTGGACAGAGCAGTAAGAAAAGTCCACTTCCACCTTCCGAAGTGTTGAATTAGACAATGACATTTTTGAACAGTTAAAGTAGCAGTTTTGGCATTTATAGAACTTTGAGCTCTGTCATAATAATAGCAATAATAAGTTCCATTTATATAGCGCTTTTCACAATCCCAAAGTCGCTTTACACAAAAAAAAACATCCCCTGAAGGTTTCCTTTGTGCCAAAGGTGATGCAGTTTGTATCTGGATCACCTTCATATTTCAGTGATTAGAAGTAGCTTCCTCGATTTCAGATTAATTCCCTCCATATTTGGCCCTTTTGCTGCATGTGCACCTGTACCAGGTGTCCAGAATGCGTTGTGTTTCAGGCACCTTGCTGTCCGGGCTGAGTTACATGCATGTCTGTCTGCTGAAGCATCGTATTGGTAATGACATCAATGACAAGACAGCTTTCCAAAAACGCTGAAATCTGCTCATTCTGTAATGCCAGTTTGTTTCATTCAAAGAGCTGAATATTAAGACCGTTTATTAGATTAGATCATATTACACATTACTTTATAGTCATTGTAATCACAAATACTCAAAGACATGCAGTTTGGAATCTAAGCCATTAGAGCAAAATTGCTAGAACCAGATGTACATTTATGTAAGTATGGAGCAAAACATAAACGTATCAGGTGAACTCCCAGAGAGGTGACTGTTACGAAATTTGTTAAGAATCCAGTGGTTGAGAGGTGTCCACTCCATCAGGCGATTAACATTCAGCTGGCACCACCCAAATATCCTTTGAAATGGCGTTTTTTTTGGGGACGCCTCCACCCCTGGGCAGAATGGACGGCCAGAGCAGGCAGAGGTGAGGAGCCTGTGTGCCGTTTGTCTGCTGAGGCCTCGTTACTCTCCTATTGTGGCGATGAACCCGGGACTCGGCCCCTCGCAGTCGCAGGGCCGGCTTTGTTCCTCTCGACGGGCCCCCTGGATGGGGGGCTTCATCAAAGAGGCTTTTAGGGGCACTGCCTCTGACAAAGCAGCCCGGCCATACAGATATAACAGCGATGTCTTCTTTAAACGCCTAGCCGAGATTCTCAGGCTGAGATACAGGCTTTACTGCCACAGAAGTTCCTCCCCTAGAGATATCGCAGCTCTTTGTGATGTACAAAATCACACAAACCAGTTTGGTCATCTGTAAAGTCATCCCGGTGTTTGCGTTAATGGTACACCCTGTTTGGCTAATCAATACCTCATTGGGTCATTTAACACATTTCATTAATTGAGCCGATGGTCAAATTTACACACAGTAGTCCCCACGTAAATCCGTGATACGTTCTAAGACCCACCGCGGATAGGTGAAACGGCAGATAACGGTAGACCCTCCGCTAGACCCCATATTTAACGTGATTTTTATATACTTACATATGATAACTGAAATTACACGCAGTAAGACATTACCAATATTTAACAACGGTACACTGTATATTATTATACAGCACTGTACTCTGCAGTGAAAGGGATTCTGATGATTTAAGCTAATTCTCAAGAGATGATAGAGCAATGAAAAAATATGTATCAAGGGATGAACATCTAGTCATCTAACAAGATATTAGTCATTTTGTGGAGAATACAATTTACGTCCAGGATTCAATACAGTATATTAGATATGCACTGATGAGCCAGAACATTATAGCCTCACCCATGTGAAGCGAATAATGTTGACTATCTAGTAACAATGGTACGTGTCAAAGTCTGGGATATATCAGAGGGTGAGCTAGCACCCGGTACTTGTAGTCAACCTGTTGAGTGCAGAAACAGCACACAGAGACAAATCCAAGGGCGATGCCAGACATTTTCTTTTGCCATGGGGGGCTGCTTGACTTTTCAGCGGGGGTACTCTGAAATTTAGGGATTCCTCTTAATGTCCGACACAAATACACTTGTGTTGTATTAATGTATTTATTTTCCAAAGTATAAATTATAGTATTCACACAAAAAAAATAAATGCAATAAAAAATTACAATGAAAAATTGTAAATAAACCACAGAAATTTCTTGGGGGTGCTAAGGGGATGCTATTGCTATCACAGGGGTAGCTACAGCACCCCCAAGCCCCTCCCTGGCGCCACCCCTGGAATAATCATGAACTGCAAGGTGGCCAGGACCCATCGCTGTGGGATATAAATGAAGGCTGTCCTGTCTGGTATTAACTAACAGAAGGGCTACGGTGGTACGATGGGCAAAAATGTTTGATGACGATCACCAGTATAATGTGTCACGACGCACAGAACACTTCTGAACAACATATATATATATATATATACACATACATACCTTCCTCCTATAGAGATAGAGAGAGAGAGAGAGAGAGAGAGAGAGGGAGAGAGAGAGATCATGTAGATGTAAAATGTGTGATGTATTAAATACAATAAAATTCTATTATAGAATTCACTTAAAAGATAAAAGGTTAATAGGTCACTGATTTTCAAGAAGCCGGTCTGATCCCGAATTTCCAAGAATATGGAGGACGGATGTCAACAAAACTGCTTGTGACGATATAACAGTCCCGTGTGTTTTATTTTCATCTAAATGGGTTGTCACATTAGCTCTCAGAATAAAGACATGTAGTCAGGGAATAGGTGGTGTAAAAACTCTTAAAATAGATTTATTTCTATTAAACTTCCTTAAAAAGGATACATTGTGAATGCACAATGGACTGATGCATTTACAGGTATGTATGTCCCGCATCAATGATCTGAGGTAAGCAAATAAATTGTTACTTTTTATATATTTTCATGAAACTGAATGGGATTATGGAGCACAGCAGCAACTATTATAATAATATTGTACAGTAAGAACAGCAAAAATCTGATAACATTTTGTATATGTTAATATAATATGAACTGACAGTCATATCTTGTAGAATACTGTATTTTCCTTACAATAATATTTACATAGAATATAAGATAAGATAAGATAAGATGAGATGGAAGAAAAGACCTGTGGTATCTCTGTCACACGCCTTGGGTGCAGTCTGTCGCTGAAGGAGCTGCTCAGTACTGACAGCGTGTCCTGTAATGCGTGGGAGATGTTCTCCAACAGGGAACATAGCTTAGCCAATGTTCTCCTGTCGCTCGCCACCTCGACTGGGTCAAGGGGCCAACCCAAGACAGAGCTGGCTTTTTAAATCAGCCTGTTCAGTTTTTTTTCCCTCCCCCCTGTAGGAATGCTGCTGCCCCAACAGACCACACCATAGAAGATGGCTGATGCCACCACAGTTTCATAAAATGTCTTCAGGAGGTCCCACTGCACTCCAAAGGACCTCAGTCTTCGTATGAGATACAACCTGCTCTGACCTTTATTGTAAATAGCGTTTGTATTATGGATCCAGTCCAGTTTATTGTTCAGATGAACACCCAGATACTTATTGGAGTCAACAATCTGAATGTCCATCCCCTGGATGTTCATTGGTGTGGCTGGCGGATGTAACATTTTCTTTGCAGAATCATGTCAGTAATGTTTGCCTCATGAATATGCGACTTAGCACTTATTCTGGTTTGAAGATCATGACCTTCTGTTACCAGTTTTGGAGTCTTGACCCCACACACACCTGTAAAGCTTTACAGGGTAAGAGAGTTTTCTGTGTAATGAAAGAGGAATCACACATTTAGCTAAATAGCTGTGTTTTTTTTTTTGGCCTTTTTCGTTAAGTGGTCTAACCTCTGAGACAGAATATGTCAACTCTGTAATATGTTATTGAAACACTTGTGTTCATTATAATGTATCAAATAAATGCTTATAGTATTTCTTATGCTTTTTATCTATAACACAGCAGCTGTAAGTCACCTTGAGTAAATATGCATTACTATCTGTAAATACAGCTTACAGGAACTTGTTTTGTGGTTACGCTGTTTTACCTAAGCAGCCTTGTGACATCTTGTGTCATGTGACTTTGGAGGCCATTTTAAATAACCTGTTGAAGTCATGTGACAACACGGGCCAAAACAACATGCATAAATGTCAGCTTATGAAAACCCTATGCATTGCTTACAAAATTTCTTAAACAAGACTCTTCCATAGAAAATGTTTGAACATTTTCCCTTTTGTCATGAACATTCACCAGCACACTTGATTCACTGATGGCTAATAAAGCCAAATAACATAAACATAATGAAGCATAGCCTATTATGTATTATGTGTTGACTTGGACTCTCTGGCACATAGCTGTCAAGTCTCCCGTTTTGGCCGGGAAACTACCGTATTTTACCCCTCTTTCCCGCCGTCCTCCCGTATTAGTATTTTCCCGTAAATCTCCCGTATTATAATATTTAAAAAAAAAATCCTCTGCCTCTCCAAACGGAACTGTCAGTAGCCTCGCGAGAACTGACACCTGCAGTAGTTTGCAGGTCATTTACAACATTAACCAGGTCATAAATGCGGAGGTTAAAATGGCAATGCTGTGTGCCAAAACAACGTTACTTTCACCTTCTGTGACGACTTCAACAAGGATACAAAGTCTGCAACAAATCTATATAATAAGTCATTAGTGAATGCCAGAGAGCCACATGAGTGAACATGAGAAATTAAAAGAAAATGTGTAATGAAAATAAAATGTAAATGACAAGTGGTTATTTTAGATTTCTTGTACACCTGTCTTAAAATGTAAGGGATACTGGAGCTTGGTTGGGGTGGTGGGTGCCAGAAAATTTCCCTTATTTTCAAATCCAAAACTTGACAGGTATGCTCTGACATCTGTCCCTGAGTGTGATCTAATCCCACTTTTTCAAACTTATAAAGGTCAATCAGAATCATCCTGACACATCCCACATGTATAATTGTGGGCCAATTTAAACTATTTAAATAGTAAGTTACTGTTGCGACCTGCGCGAGCGAACGAGCAGGGAGCGGAGAAGCAGACGACGGGAGCCGTGAATACGGGTAAACGGGGTTTTTAAATAAAGTAAACAGGGAGCAGCACAGAACGAACGTTAACGACAGACCTGGGGAAACAGACCTGAACGCGGACTAAATACACAAGACAAGCAGAAAATAACAGGCAACAGGTGATCACAATCGGGGTAGCACGCGTAGGTAATGAGGGGGCGTGGCACACACGAGGATCGTACGAGCTGGACGTGACAGTTACACGTGACCTTGGGTGTGTTTCCTGGAAGCTTCGTAATACTAAGTAGGCTAGTTCGTTTACTCATGCTTAAGGTTATTCGTTACTTAGAGAGTGATTCTCTAACCCCATCGTAACTAAAGTAGTTCGGAAATTAACAAGATATCTGGCCCATTCGTTATTTTCTACGTCGTTCTTTATTTGAACTTTTTCCTGCTATATGGTTACACAGACACGGAGGTTGCCTAAAACAAATCACAAAAAACATACTGATGCTCTTTTTTTTTTTTTAGAAAGCATAGTAATTCTAATAATATAGATATGTGGCTTAATGTCCAGGTTACGTTCTGTCTGTCATAATGCGTGTGACAGAATGACCGGACTGGGGATACTAACACAGACGTGGACTAAATACACAAGACAAGTCAAAATCAAATATTAAACAGGTGATAACAATTAGGAAATAACACGAGGTAACGAGGTGGGCGTGGCACACGCGAGGATCGTACGGAGCTGGGCGTGACACTGTCGTTCCGTTAAGACTCCTCAAAAATAAAAAAAATAAAACTTACTTACAATTGTTTTCTTGCAATCATGCAAATATAAGGTACACTTCACTCACTTGCACATATATACTGAGCATCAAAAGAAACTCATCAAACCTTTTGCAGAGTATATAAACTTCTGACAGAAAAAAAAAAGTTATTAATTAACAACAAAGAGAAAAAAATGTTTGTAATAGTATTTTAATTGACAACAAAGGCAGTTGTAATACAGACATTACTACTGTCCTCAGTATCTGGCATGACCTCCATTTGCAGTGAAGCAGTGCTTCCTGATCTCAGACCCTGCTTAAGGTTACCTTGGCCAATGCTGCGGTACCCTAACACCTGTGGCGAGAGGAAAAAGACAGGAGGCAGATGCTTAGTCCGTGAAAGGGATGAAGCACTTTTATTAACAACAAAGAGAAGAAGATCGACAGAGCAAGATCCGGTTGCCGCCAAACTAACCAAAAAAAACTATAACAGGAAGTCAAACAGACCTTCAGAATAAGAGCACATCTGCCCTGAGAATTCTGATTGCTTATGAACCCGCTACATAGGCCCCCCTAGAATTCACAGAGGTAGAGGATCCCACTTCTTAGGGGGTCTGATCACCCGCCCTGATCTGCTCACAGTACCACCCACAGGAGCAGGCACAACTGGGGCTGGGGCCAGGGCCGGTGACGGGACTGAACCGCGCGGACGACCCCTATGATGAAGCTGGCCGAGTGACAGTGGGGCATCTAAATCTAAATGGGCCGACTTCAAACGGTCCACAGAAACGCGGTCTGCCTTACCACCCATTTCCAAAACAAAAAACTTGTCCCCAGGCTGCAACACACGAAAAGGCCCATCGTAGGGGGGGCGCAAAGGATCGCGATGGGCATCATGCCGAACAAAAACAAATTGAGCATCCACCAGATTCGGGAGAATATGAGAACGTGGAAAACCATGATGCGACGTGGGTATTGGATCAAAAGTAGCCGCAGTGTCCCGAAAAGCGGAGCGCTGCTGTGAGGCCGACCAAAGAACTGACGCATCTGGTAGAAAGTCACCAGGTACCCGCAAGAGCTGTCCGTAGACTAACTCAACAGAGGAAGTCTGTAGGTCGGTCTTCGGAGTGGTCCGCAAACCCAGCAAAACCCATGGCAACCTGTCAGACCAAGAAGCACCCTGAAGAGATGCACGAAGGGCAGCCTTCAGAGAGCGGTGAAAATGCTCACACAACCCGTTAGCTTGCGGGTGATAAGCGGTGGTGTGGTGTAGAGTGATCCCTAGCTCACGGGGCAAGTGCACCCCATAGTTCGGATGTGAACTGCGGGCTGCGGTCAGATGACAGGTCGGCAGGCACCCCAAAACGAGAGACCCAGGAGTTGATGAAAGCCCGAGCCACATCTGCCGTTGCCGTGGAGGCTAATGGTACCACCTCCAGCCAGTGGGTTGTCCGATCAATGATCGTTAAAAGGTGCGTGTAACCACGGGATGGTGGCAATGGACCAACCAAATCCACGTGGACATGATCAAATCGACGCACCGGGACAGCAAAATGTGCCAGGGGAGCTTTGGTGTGCAGCTGGATCTTATAGCACTGACAAGTAAGGCAAGAAGCAGCCCAGTCATGTATGTCCTTTTTCAGCCCACGCCAAACAAACTTAGCTGAAAGCAGCTCTTGTGATGCCTTGCGGCCGGGATGGGAAAGGCTATGGACAGCATCGAACACCCGACGCCACCAGCCATGCGGCACAACGGGCCGCGCAGTTCCTGTTGAGACGTCACAAAGTAGTGATGCATCACCGAAGGGCACATCCTGGAGCTGCAGACCAGTGTCAGCAGACCACAACCCCTGAATCTCACTGTCAGCTGCCTGGTCCGCTGCCATTAGTGCATAATCCACACCGAGGTGGACAGAACCAACCACTGAACGTGAAAGGCAATCAGCCACCACATTGTGTTTGCCAGCAACATGCTGGATGTCAGTGGTGAATTCAGAAATGAACGCCAGCTGACGCTGCTGACGTGCAGACCAAGGGTCCCAAATTTTGCTCATGGCGGCCACCAATGGCTTGTGATCCACAAAAGCAGTGAATGGGCGCCCTTCTAACAGGAAGCGGAAATGGCGCACAGCTAAGGCCAAGGAGCTCACGGTCCAAAGCACTGTACTTGCGCTCACTCGGGCACAACTGGCGACTGAAAAAGGCCAGCGGCTGCCATTCCCCATTAACCAGTTGCTCATGCACTGCACCCACAGCAACATCGGAAGCATCCGTAGTGATGTCGATGGGAGCATCTGGCAAGGGGTGAGCTAGCAACGTAGCATCTACCAAGGCCCGTTTAGCATTATGGAATGCCTGACACTGCTCCGGAGTCCACTCAACCACCGCCTTAGAAGAAACACCCTTAAGTGCAGAGTATAGTGGGCACATAATGCGGGCAGCCCCAGGGATGCAACGATGGTAAAAGTTAACCATTCCCAGAAACTCTTGCAAGGATTTGACCGTGACTGGCCGTGGGAAATCCTGAACAGCAGCAATTTTCTCTGGGAGAGGCACCGCCCCCTCTGAGGTAACGCGGTGGCCAAGAAAATCATCAGAATGGACACCAAACTGACACTTGGTAACATTCACAATTAACCCGTGAGCACTGAGACGTGCAAACAATGCCTGAAGATGAATCAAATGCTCATCCAAACTGGTGCTTGCAACTAAAATGTCATCTAAATGAACAAACATAAAAGGCATGTCCCGCACAACACTGTCCATCAAACGCTGGAAAGTTTGAGCTGCATTCTTGAGCCCAAAAGGCATCTGAAGAAACTCGAACAGACCAAAAGGTGCAACAACAGCGGTCTTAGGGATGTCCTGGGGGTGCACTGGAACCTGATGGTATCCCCTAATCAGGTCTACCTTAGAGAAAATGAGAGTGCCTGCCAAATGGGCAGAGAAATCTTGGATGTGCGGAACAAGGTACCGGTCAGAGGTAGTCACATCATTAAGGCGTCTATAGTCCCCAC